AATGCCCTCTTACATGCTATATGAGTAACATGAAAAGCAATGTGTATCGCTGCGTTCTGCCGCGTGACGATTGATTGAAGTGTTGCGCTGCATTTGCAAAAGCAGACGCAGTAAGACTGCGTTCCGTTATTCATTACATACTGAAAAACTATACAGTACAAATAATGTGCATTAAAAATATAGATTTACAGTACAAGATTTGTACTGTAAATGCAAGACGAAATTATTCTAACTATTAGAATATTGTGCACAGAATATTTTCCTCTTAATTTCAAAGGATTCCTCAAAGGAGGCCATATACAAAAATAAAATCCTCTAAGATTTAGTGGATTCCACTAATATTAAAATTATTTTTTTTTGGGTAATATAAAATTTATGTTTTGACATTAATATTTTCGCTACTCACATCATAATTATAAATACCTTTTTTTTGTTTCTGTTGTTGCGTTTATCTAAATTGTATTGTTGATCTGGTAATTGGGACACTAGGATAACGCAAATATTTTTTACGTGGCCCTATTTTGTCGAATGAGGCATTCTAAACAAAAAAGTAAAATTAATTGTCTTGTTAAATGCACCCTGTTAAAAAGTCCCATAAGAAATATGTGTGTGTATGTGTATGAGATAGAAATTTATATAAATTTAAAATAAATCCTATATGATTTTATCGAAACTTATCATATTTATCAGAAATTAGATACCACGTTAAAAAAAAACTAATAATTTCTATCGTTTTATATCTTATCTTACTTATCATATCTATTAGATATTACATTAGATAGAAAAGTTATTAATTTCTATCGTTTTTTATCTTATCTTACTTAAACAATAAAATATTTATCTGAGTACACAAGCTTTTCAATATAATCCTATCACATTATTTGATTTAATATAAAATAAACGATACAATATTTATATATAGGGTGTCCCAAAATTCGCAAATCAAAATATTATAGTAAGAAAATTTTCAAAAAATTAAGTAAAAAAGTTATTTGTAAATTTTTATTTTAAGCAATAGTTTTTGAGATATAAGAGCTTAAATTTAGCCAGTTATAGATTAGTACTCGTGAAGTGCGCGACCACTACTGACTTGCTCACGGACATATTCCGTTTAATCGTAATCTATAATTGACTAAATTTAAATTGTTATATCTCAAAAACTACTGCTTAACGAAAAATTTACAAATAACTTCTTTACTTAATTTTTCGAAGACTTTCTTGCTATGATATTTTAAATCGCGAATTTCGGGACACGCTGTATAAGAATCTTAATAATTTAATAGAAGTATATTTCTATATGTTTAAAAAAAACACATGTTATAGAAAAATTATCATGTCCTTGTTGTCAATATAATGTGATATTTAGATTATTGAATTATCATTTCGCAGATTTTATCAAGCAAAAGGAGCTACAATTTCTACAAATATTGTTTTATATGTTATGTTACACTTAAATAATAGAGTACTTATTAAAATATACAAGCTTTTATACATGATCTTATTACATTATTATTATCTGATTTAATATAAAATAAATAAAAAATTAATTAAAGACCAAATAATTGAGGACCAACGCAAGTTATTCGTGTGTGCAATAAATATATATTCTTTAATATAAATAGACGTTTTGATCTTAATTTTTGATAATCTTTAGTATTAAAATCACAGAATACCAATTAATTTACGATTGTGCAAGATGTACTCAATGTAAGTCAATTATCAGTAGTCCAAAATTAAAATATCGTCTATCCATATTAAACATTTAATTAAAACTGAAAAATATTTGATTAAAAACGTTAAATTAAAAAAAAAATTATAAGTAAAAATCAAACTAAAAGAACTTATATGGTAGACGTATTATAAGATTTTATACATTTATGGAATCGAACTGATAGATGATGTGTACAGAACAATACCTCGTGAATTTGAGAGATCAAACTAACAATAAGTGTCAAATAATGATGTACATAAATAAATAAATAATTAAGATAAAAACATCAAGATTTTCTAAAAAAGTTATGATATAACTAAATGAATCTAAAAGATCCGTGTCGGTTCAACTGTAGATTTAATCTTTGTATTTGCTTGTAAATATGTATCATTTCTGAAATTAATCTTTTGCTTAAAACTTTTTCTTCATCTAAAATTGTAATATTGTCCCAATTGAACTCATGTATTTAATCTATGATCCGTAATAATCGAGTGCTGGGTTGTATTCCTATTTATATGATTCTTATGCTCACTTATACTGGTTTTTAATAACCTTCAAGTTTGTCCGACTACATTGGTTTTTAATTTTAGGTTTTTTAATTTAACGTTTTTAGTAAAATATTTTTCAGTTTTAATTTTTAACTTTATTAAGTATCTTACTAAATGTTTTAATATCGATAGATGATGTTTTAATTTTAAACTATGATAATTGATTTACATTGACTACATCTTGCACAACTCTGCGTGAATTTATTGGCAGTCTAATTAATTGTAGCTAATTAAAAATTATTATTAATAAAAAATAAAGATGATTCAAAATTAGAGTTAAAACATCTATTCGTATTTATATGTATGAATATATTGAAGAATATATATTTATTGTACAAACAAATAACTTGTGCTTTTATTGGCATATAATTAATTTTTGATTTATAAAATAATTGATACTATATTTACTACATGGGCTGAAAAGTTTCCGGAACTGGATACAAAATGGCACAATATACAAAAATTAATCTTATGGCTGTCGAATATATTCCTTCAAATCTCTGCTGTCAAAATTTCATGACATTTCACTGAATAGTTTGTGAGTTACAGTCATTTGAACAAGTCAACTTTTGAGTTTTAAAAAAAATGGAAAAAACCGAAATTTGTGCATCAAATATCAATATTTGAAAGACTTAAAACCTCAAGAAATCATTGAAGTTATCGATGATTTCTTGAGGTTTTAAGCCTTTCAAATGTTGATATTTGATCACTGCACGAATTTCGGATTTTTCCATTTTTAAAAACTCAAAAATTGACTTGTTCAAATGACTGTAACTCACAAACTATTTGGTGAAATGTTATGAAATCTTCACAGCGGAGGTTTGAAGGAATATATTCGACAGCCATAAGATTAATTTTTCTATATGGTGCCATTTTGTATACAATTCCGGAAACTTTTCAGCCCATGTAGTATAAGAACTTATAATTTAATATAAAAGTGTTAATATGAAGTGTTAATATGAAATAATTTAATAAGAAGTGTCCTTGCATGCGCATTTAAATAGAATATATGTTATACAAAGATAATTGTACCATTGATAATATCATGTGACATTTATTAATTCTTATAAATATTATATATCGTTTCTTTTATATTAAATCAGATATATTACAGAATATTATAGAATCATATAAAAAAGCTTGTGTACTCAATAGATATTTAATCGTTTAAGTAACATATATGAAACATAGTAACATATATAAAACTGTAGAATTTTACAGCTTTTTTTACTTGCTAAATCAATGAAATAATTATTCAATCTCAAATATCATATTATATTACAAATTAAAAAAGTAAAGACTCAAAATTAATAAAGAAAATAACGGGCTATGAGCCAAAGCAAATTGTTTAATGCTCCTATATAAAATTACGGTAAAGTACAATAGAAACATATGATAAACAATAAACGTTTCGACACGCATCGGGTCATTATCAATGTTAAATTTAAATTTAAATTTAAAACGAATTGTAACATAGTAATATAATAATAATATGTGTATATAACCTAGTATGATTTCAAAATTTATTGTATACTGACGACTCACACAATCCACTCACAGACCTAAGTAGTAGGCGCAAAACTGTCACTGCTTGTCTGAATTTTCGATTGTATTATATTGAACGATACACGGACTCCTGTATTCAGAATATTCCAAATTATGTATTTTATTATTGTTGTATTGCTGTCTTTATAATAATCACAATCGGAATCGAATAAGACTTTATTACTCTAACTATATTACAATGAAAGTAATGATTCGCGTCGTGTGGACAGTGGAACGGTCTCTACAGTTCTGCTCCTTCTTCCTCCTCGTTCGCTGCAGGCTTCCACTTATCGTAGGATTTCGGAGCTATCTATCTCCGCTCGCCATGCAATCATACGCACTATCATAGTGCACGCCAATATAGAAATATTGTGCGCGCCATTCGACCGTTAATGTATAATCAAATATAGTGAAATATAATTACCTATGAGAACCGACACGGGTGTTGGTGTGTTAAATTCTTATTGTTACACTGTCCGATCACACACGATCTCTGCGCCGTACGGTTCGTCGGAATAAATTTTTTTACAGGCTTGGCAGGAGGGGAATCTTATAGATGCATATTAGCATAAAAAAATATTAAATTGTTTCTCAAATTAATTACAAGTTATAAGTTTCTGGCTTCATGCAAAGAGCTGTGTTTCAAGATTGACAAACCGTAACACACCAACATTCGTGTTGATTCTCATAGATAATTATTTCACTATATTTGATGTATAATGTAATATACATATAATAATTATATTTATTATAACTTTGCTGTTTGTCTTGCGTCAAATTTGGGAAGACCGTTTACACATTTTATCGCTCTGTGTCTATTTGAACTTTTACACAATTATTATAAAAACTTGAGCCGTAATTATAGTCTGTATAGTATTTTTATATTATTAATTTACATATCGCAAGAAAGATTTCACCGTTAGACGAATTTGAATTACCGACTTTTATTTATATTATTATATGATAATTCTCTCTAAAAGTGAATCAGTGAAATCATCACTGATTGTCAGTGTCATATCCTTTTCCGGTGACATACTTAGAACTAAGATCGGAAGAGCACACG